AAGATAAACAAAAAGTTTACCTAAGTAATATTTACAATCTATCCCAATCTTCTTTGATCATAATCCCCACTCACACACAGATAGACTGACAGACGGACACAGTTAAATGACAAATGTTAAAGAAAACTAAAGAATTCTGTTTTGCCAGTTCAGTTAAACAGTTTCAAATGATGAATACTAGGCCTTCATAGAACTTTATATCTTGCAAGAATTCTGAACTCACTGGTTCATACAAACAGGTTCAGCAGATTCCTAGGAATATTTTCTTATTTCTTTTTACAGACTAGCATTCTTTTTTTTCAGAGCATTCAATAATTTGATAACTAGAGAGAAAACAAGAGAGAGCAAAACAAAGTCACCAGTCTAGAAACTTCCAAAACCACTCTGCCCCTGCAAAAAACCCAGTCAGAACTGGTTTTCTCCCTTTTTTATAACCAACATTCTGTGTGGTTAGTTAGTTTGCACTGGTACTCCCTTCATTGACCAATTCAACATCCAACCAGCTGCCAGGCCTGAGCACAGCAATTACTTGGTGCCAATTTGTTGGCAGTTTTTTGATCAGTAATTAAGCTGCATTACACTCCAGGGCAGATCCCAACAGACAACATCCACCTTTGTTCTGTTCTCCTTTAAAACAAGCATAGCTTTGAACAACTGTTCAAAGTTCAAACATCAACTTCAACTCAGTTTGAAACCAAAAACAAGAGAAAATGCAAGAAAAATAGTGATGGTCTCAACAATATGTTTTGCTTATCATCTTAATTCTGTGCCTATTTCGGCTGATTCTTTTGCTATTGAATATTTTCTTCCTGTTTACTGTGTCAAAACTGTCCATGATTTTGTTAAATAGTTAAAAGGAAATTAGTTCATATGTTGAACAGTTGTGATTACAGTTATCTCCAGTTGGAACACTGACTCCTTATGTCAGTTAAAACAAGTATCTGCATGAGTACCTCCATGACATTGTGTTGTAAGAATGAAGGCAAATCGGTAACATTTGATTGAGTTGAGATACTGCAGAATTAAAATAATCTTTATTGTATATTAGTGTTTCATTACAGATCTCAATACAAATAATAGATTGATAATATGGTTACTATATATCACTAATTACAAATATAGTTAACTTGCTTTTCTACTATGTAACACAGACAAACAAGTTTGGGAAGCAATTTTACTTGCAGTAACAACACTGTCAAAAGCAGAAATTGCTGTGAAAACTCAGCAGGTCTGGCAGCATCAGTGGAGAGAAAGCAGAGTTAACATTCAAATTCAGTAGCTCTTCATTAGAATTCTGTCAAGCTTATCAAGACATAAATATACAAACAAAAACTAACATTAAAATAGGAAATAACAATAATTGATGTCGTAGCTTATAACATGTATTACAAAGCAAACTTTCCCATTTGTATTGATTTATCAAAACAATCTACTCTTCACTGTTCCAGTAACAGCTTGAAAGAAACTCCCCACTATAACAATTGTCCTTTGATACTTGGCAACCCAATGATAAATAATGAACCACAAACTGAATATACAGACCAGTACAAATTGGAATAATATACATAAGTCTGTATTTTTTATGACTGAATTTAAACATTGAAGTTTAATATTGTTTAACATAGTCGTTTTGCAGTGCACTTTACAAATTTGTACGGGCCAGGTGAATCATGTTAAACATTGATCATTAACAGTATCAACATTCTTCAATAAATTTGGAAGCCATCATTATCAAGATTAATTCCAGGTATTTACAATGCCACAGTGGCAAGTAGGATCACAGAATCCCTACAGTGCTGAAGCAGGCCATTCAACCCATTGAGTTCACATAGTCATCTGAGGGTGGAATCGAACCCAGGTCCCTGGTGCTGTGAGGCAGTAATGTTAACCACTGAGCCACCGTGTAAAGTAAAATGTTAAAATGTGTAAAATTGTGTGCTATATTGTATGTGGTATAAACAAGGACAAAATTTACGAAATATTTAGGAAATCAAAAAATTATTATAAGAGTGAAGGAAAAAATAGTTTGTATCTAAACTGTTCACAATCTAGAAAGACCACTGCATGCATGATGTTTGGCAAAAGACAGCACCATATTAGCTTATCTAAATACTAAAAACTGAAATCATCTAAATGCTTCTTAAATTTATGAGGGTTTCTGCCTCTACCACTCTTGCAGACAATGAATTCCAGATACCCACCCGCCTTTGAGTGAAAAAATATTTCTACACATTCCCTTGAAACCTGCCTGCCCCTTATCTTAAATCTATGTTCTTTCATCATTGATCCCTCCACCAAGGGGAAGAGTATCTTCCTGACTATCCTGTCTTTGTCCCTCGTACTTTCATACATCTCAATTGTGTTCCCTCAGTCTCCTCTGCTCCAAGGAAAACAACTCCACTCTATCCAGTCTCTCTTCATAACTAAAACTGTCCAGCTCAGGCAATATCCTGGTAAATCTCCTCTCACCCTCTCCAGTGCAATCGCATCCTTCCTGTAATGTGGACTCCAGAACTACACACAGTACTCTAGCTGTGACCTAACCAACTTTTGACATAGTTCCAGCATAACCTATGTCTCAGCTGATAAAGTTAAGTATTCTCTATGCCTTCTTAACGACTTTACTTACATGTTCTGCTATTCACTATGTCACATACCCCTACATTTACACATATCTTTCAAATTTATAGCTTCAAACGTATCAAAGACTGTCTACTCCTCTATTTGAAATTTTAGGGTTTTTTTTCCCATTCTTGTAGACCTGCATTTGTTAAATAATGATCCAATTTATTTAAGCTTTTGAGAATCTTCATTACAACCTATCATTATCCTTCACTGGCCAAAATTTGGCTTTATAACAGAATAGTGTTCCTTCAATGCTTAAGCTTAACTCACTGAATCTTCCAATGGGAAGGAAGATTGATTTAGATCCTGGGCTGCATAGTTAAAAGAATAGAGGCAAAGTCTAGGGCTGAAAGAAGTCCATACAAAGCAATGATAAACTAAACAAGCAGCATTGCATGTAACGACATTGATGTCTAGACAGTGGAGGCAGTTCAGTGTGGAAAATGCATGGAAGCGCAAACAAACTGCAGAAAGCACCTAATCTATGCGACAGGATTGAAGGATCCTAGATTGATGGCTCAGTGGGATATTATTGAATTATTTAAGATCCTTTAGCAAGTAGCCTTCTTTGAAAGTGAAGCAGTCATATTGGACTTGAAATGTTAGCTGTGTTTTTCTGTCCACAGATCCTGCCAGAGTTTCTCCAGCACTTTTTGTCAGATCTTCAGCATCTGCAATATTTTACTTTTATTTAAGAGTTAATGTCTCTGTGAACAGAGGGAACAATTGGGACTGAATTTTGAGAGTATCTTCATTACATGGTACCATAGGCTGAAAAGCATTTTTCTCATATTTTTTGCATCAGCAAAAGAAACAAGCTCAAGAAACAAAATAACATTTGGGTAGAAAGGAAAGGGTTCTTTCTTGCTTTGTTTGCCAGATATACTTCTATTCACAAAGTCGTTAGAATGGATCTTTGCTTTGTGCATCATGGCAGCATAAAATGGATAATAGTCAGTAGACAGCTTGTTTTACATCTCTCCAATTTCATTGACGTTAAAATGGTTTACCCATCTGATATTTTCAGCTTCTCACTGGCCAGGTTAGGTTAAAATTACCCATTGCATCAGAGTGGGAGTCTGTGAGAAGTCCCACCTTCAATGAAATGAGGATTCAGAGAGCATGGTCAGCATGAAGGATGCTATACTTGCTGTTGAAAAGACAGAAAAGAGAACTACCGGGCATAAATAAAATGAAGACAGCCATCTAAGGGAACTATAGTATAGAGTCTAGAGAGAATTGGAGAGAAATAGATAGCTTATTATGTAACAGGCCTTTGATTTGTATCATGTTAATTATAAGAAGGAGAATAAGTCTGAAGGATGCTGAATTCAATTTGGATGACAAATAGATTAGCCAGAACTTTATTCAAAAAGTATGTAATATGGGAGAGAAGATCACCAGTGTAATGATCATGCAAGAACCTGCTAGTGATCTTGGAAAAGGACAAAATTTTAAAATTGACATGTTCTCAGAACCAATGGCAGTTTCACAACTTTACATTACAGATTGAAGAAGCATTCGCAGTAATGGGGATGATATGAGGCATTGCCTTTCTTAGGGATAGCCAACATGATCAAATACCCAAGGAGATGAAATGTAGCCTGCAAGTAAGAGAGACAATATGGACAGGCATATAATTAGGCACATATTCAGATGATAAAGGATTCCAAAAAGATTGTGCCCAGAGACTGTCTGAATATCTTACAGGCTCTGTGGTGCTCGTAAAACAAAATTAAACAATGGAGGATGCTTCTCTGTTAAGACCCTTTAAATTAGAATTTGAGGAATAAGTGTTCCAAAAGTTTGGCTTTCCTCTTTGGAACAACTAGTAATCGAATCATCAAGCTAAGGTTAAGAGATAATCAGGCAAGAGATAGCCAGACAGCAAGCTTACTGAAGGGGTCACTGATAGCGATTGAATCTTCTTTTCAATGAAGTAACGTTTATTTGTATTGCACTGACTGACAGATATACAAGGAGAAGAGGTGTTAACTCAAACTGTTTCAGACTGATCAAAATAGTCAAAAACTTTTCCAAGTGATGATAGAGTAATGGGAGTGACATAATGTAGCCTTAAATCTGACGAATGCACAATGCTGATGTACAACCTTTGCACCTACTTGTATAACATCAATTGTTTTATTGGCACAAAAGATACGGAAGAATAAAAGCAGCCAATGGAGTTGGGAAAAGTAACAAAGTAACAAATAATTCTTGAAAACTCTCTATTCTTGCTCAAGACAAATTTAATTCATGGAATGCAATTTGCTGCAGATGTAAGGTAACAACATGGTTTTAGCAGCTTCCTTTCCACTCATTAATCCTCTCTGTGAAACTGCAGATCAGATGATTCCTTTAAAATAACCCATTACCAACTTGCTAAAAAGAATCATTCCAAAATTGAGGGAAATCCCACTGAAAATTAACTAGACTGCATAATTGTTATGTATAATTTTCTAAAAAATTCCAGAGCAGCATCTTTTTCTAACTCTGACTTTGTTTTACCTACCCAAAACAATTTCCTTCTTGCCTTATAGGTCATTGATTAGGATCATTTAAGCAGGTATGCCAAACATTAGACTGGTGCAGTGCAATGTTTGGCTACATCCTTGCTGGAGCTAATGACTGATAACGCGACATTGTTTATGGCCGAAATACATTAAAATGCCATACATTGGTAAAAACATAGGACTTAAGAACAACTTGCTCTGCCACTTGATAATAATATGATTGATTTTGTTCAGATCTCAGCTTGACTTTACACTTTGGCTACACACCCTCACCCTCCCTCCACCCCAGAAACATACCCCTTCCAGAAGCTGTGTAAGTTGGCTGGGAATGAAGCATTGGGGATGCAAGTCAGACTGGATCTGGAAACAATGGGCTAGATCAACAATTTTTGATGGAGATCTGGGCAGGCAGAAGGTCTGTCTGACAGACAAAGAAGGTCCATTGTTGTGTAGCTTCAGATTTAATAACTTCAGGGGACTTAAGTTTAAAGGATACCTGCATTGGTTTAGGTTAAAGAAAGGACTGTGGATTATTTTTAATGAGGCATTTCTTGAAAGCCATGTCTTGAGATAGCTGTTTACTGCAGACCGCCATGCCTGGGTTTACACTGTCTGCTTTCAGCTTCTGCTGCGGTGGTTATTTGGATTTTTCAGTTGTTGGCCAATAGTGACCAATTGGGGCAGTTTAGTGGCACAGTGGTTAGCACTGCTGCCTCATACTGCCTGGGACCCAGGTTCGATTCCAGCCTTGGGTAACTGTCTGTGTGGAGTTTGCACGTTCTCCCTGTGTCTGCGTGGGTTTCCTCTGGGTGCTCTGGTTTCCTCCCACAGTACAAAGATGTGCGGGTTATGTGGATTAGCCATGCTAAATTGCCCATAGTATCCAGGGATGTGTGGGCTATGTGGATTAGCCATGGTAAATGCGGGGTTATGAGGACAGGATGGGATGCTCTTTGGAGGGCCAGTGCAGACTTGATGAGTCAAACATCCTCTATCTGCACTGTAGGGATTATGTGAATCAGGGAAGGAAAAGAGCATCCCTGCTCAGCTCTCCTGTGTCTGAATTTTCTCTTGTTGTAATGCAAGGTAGTATCTGGGCTCCTGTTCCAGTCTGAAGCTTGATTGTCCTCCTGAAGAGCATCCAGAAGAACCTTCAATACTGTGCTTTATGAACAAGCTGCATTGGCAAAGATCCCAGGGACAACTGCCTGTATTTAGCCGTATCTGTATTTGTGCACCAGAACATCAGCCACAATATTCTGAACATTCTACATTGTTTTGTCTTTTTCCTTCATGAACTGCATTGGTTGCAAATGATTATTATTTTCCCCAAAGTGAAACTCTGTGGAGAGAAATCCATATCTTTTTTCTTTCTTTGGTGTCTGTGCTTTGGGTTATTTACAGCAATAAATATTTATGTTTACATCTTCCAAACTAAGTGTATTAACCAGTTTTTCAAAGTCATTAAATAGGCTTTGTGTATAATAAATTAATACTATTGTGTTTGTCAAAGAAGCCTGGTTGATGGATCTTTTTTAATTTTACGTCTAACTCAGAGAAAGCGTGCAATTGACCATACCAGGAACTGGGTAAAATAATGAAATTTATGTTGTCACCTGGGGTGTAGTGGGACTAGAGAAAGACGCTGCACTCCTCCAAACTCAGTCTCAACAAGAGGTATCAAAAGAGGTGGGGCCATCTAGACTGCTGTGCATTCAGAAAACTGCAGCTGACATGTTCATTCCATCCTACTGAATATTCTGGACATGGCACAGAGACAGTTTATAGGTTGCTTCTGCAATGTAGCTCAGCATTTAAGCGTGGAGTAGATCCAGAAGCACGCTTGGACATTCGTACTCAGCTTCCTTGTAAAGTGGTGATTGATGAACAAACAGGTCTTGCCTCAGACTTATCTCACTGTGATTTTTTGCATTTTAATTTTCCAATATGGATGCTGCACGTGGTGTGAATGTGGATTGGAGACTTGGATTGCCCTGAAGTGTTCAGGAATTAAAACTGAACCTTCAAGAAACTGACACATGCACAAAAAATATTGTTTTTTTTTTAAAGATGGTTCATTCAACATTTTAGCTTATTAGTGATTTTAATATTGAACATTGGAATGAAGGCTATTGACTTGTTGATACCTCAATGCCAATCAAGTAACAGTAACGTCTGCTCCCTTTCTGTTTGATGTGTCAAGGTGTGTATTGTGCAGGTGGACACGATAGGCAACCTGGGTAGTGTTGCTCACAGGAGGCCATGTGATTAAAATTCTAAGAACATGTCCAGTGTTGGCAACCCTACTGAAGACATTTTAATGAGCTGGCTCTGTCATAAGCCAGGTACCTCCTTCTGTAGAAAATTGACCTTAAGAGCTTCCATGTTGGGAGAGCAGGCTTTAGGATTTGGGGATTTTGTACGTAATGCTTTGTCACCAGGGGAAACCGTCACATTTCTAAAAAAAACTTTTAAAAATCAAAGAATTGCAGATGCTGGAAATCTGAAACAAAAACAGAAATTGCCGGAGAAATTCAGCAGGTCTGGCCGCATCGGTGGAGAGAGAAGCAGAGTTACTGTTTTGGGTCGAGTGATCCTTCTTCAAACCTTTTTATTATTCACTCATGGGACGTGTGCATCATTGCCTGGACAGAATTTATTGGTCAACCCCAGTTGCCCTTCACAAGGTGGTGGTGAGCTGCCTTCTTAAACCGCCACAGTCCAGGTGCTGTAGGTTGACCCACTATGCCCTTAGGGAGGGAATTCCAGGATATTGACCCAGCAAAGGTGAAGGAACAGTGATATATTTTCATGTCAGGATGTTGAGTGGCATAGAGAGGACTTTGCAGGTGGTGGTTTTTCCATAAATTTGCTGCCTTTGACCTTCTAGATAGAAGTAGTCATGGGTTTGGAAGGTGCTGTCTAAGGTTCTTTTTTTGAATTTTTGTAGTGCACCTTGTAGATAAGACACACTGCTGCTACTGAGGGTAGGTGACGGAGGGAAAAGATGCTTCTGGATGTGGTGCCAATCAAGTGGGCTGCTTTGTCCTAAATGGTGTCAAGCTTCCTGAGTGTTATTCGAGCCGTAGCCATCCAGAAAAGTGGAGAGAATCCCATCACACTCCGGACTTGTGCCTTGTAGATGATGGACAGGCTATGGGGAGTCGAGAGGTGGGTTGCTCGCAGCAGTATTCATAGCCTCTGACTTGCTCTTGTAGCCTTGTAGCCACTGCGTTTATGTGGCGCGTCCGGTTGAGTTTCTGGTCAATTGTAACCCCAGGGTTTCTAAGAATCTGGCAATCAAATTATGTACGAAAATGACTAACAGGTACACATTGATATCATAAAATGAATACCCCTTTAATTTTAAGGATACAGCGCTGTGACAATTCTGGAATTCCACACCCATATGTGCTACAGCTTCATAAAATGGCAGTGTCTTTTCCTGAAAAATCAAATTAAAAATCGCGAGAAATCTAAAGGTTAGTGCCAACTTCAAGTACACGGATACAGCCTGTGTCTTCTTGCCCTATTATTTCACATCTAACTCATGTTATCAAATGCTGCCTTTAAAACACAGCCAGATATTTCCTGCACATTGACAGCAGTTTCAAAGGAGGGGAATTTCCTGGGCGTTGTTATGGATCGAAATGGCAAACACTTTGCTGGAGCTGAGTGCGTACAGCCTGCGGACGCAGCGCCTCAACTTTCATGCAGGCGCAGTAGGAGAAATTCGACAAAAATTATCCTAATCCTCGTGTGGGTGAAGTTAAGTTTCTGTAACAGAAACCAGCCCCCCCGCCCCCGGTAAACGGGGGATTCGCAGCTTTCAGTAAACGGGGGCCGTGAGAAATACCGTCTTTAAATGTCAGCTTTCAAATTCGAAACGACACTTTCAATCTGAGCGGTTGGAAAATCACAATTTGAATCGAATTCTGAGGAAACGAGGGCTATTCATGGAAAGCAGAATAGAGAGCAGAAAGGGAACAGCGCTGAGGGGGAAGTGTGAGGTCAGTGATTCTCTACCAGCGCCCTTCTCATCTCCTGCTGTGCCTTTCTTGTAACTACAGCGGATTTTAGTAATAACATCTACTTCATATGTGATAAATCAGAATGATATATGTAGATATGCATCTTTACATATAGCAATAATTCGCAACTTTCTCTCTTAGTTTCAGATCTTCAGGGTTTGCCTGCCCTGGATTCTTCAAACACAGCAAAGTACGCATTATCTGTGGTTTTATTAATAATGATTGGAGTGTTTTAAGTTTCACTCTTATTTCGCAGTGTCTGGTGAGATTGCAGCCTATCATTTGCTCCTCCAACATAACCACTCAGAAGCAAATGTGCAAAACCCCTACACAAAACTAAAGTGGCCGAAAGTGGAGTTCCCATCTCGGTGCGGATCTGCAACTTCACAATTAAAAAGCGGCCGTGTGTACTTTATGTTGGAGTTTCTAAACTCTCCCTCATACAAGTGGTTATTCAAGGACACCCACCGCCTTTCACAATCATGCTTTTTCATTCGGCTGCTCCCCATGCGATGTAACCATCACCCTGTCATTCTCATGTGAGCTCTGATATATGTGTTCCTAAAAATGCGAATAGATTGAGAATTCCAGTGGTTTTCTGCAGCGTTTGGCCACTAAATGACAGCAAATGGGAAATCCGTGGAAGCGTCACGTTGGATTCGAAACGCTTACTCTGTCTCCCTGTCTCTGCACAGATGCTGCTGAGTTTCTCCCGCACTTTCTGTTTTATGAGGAAATCTTCCTCGCCCTGATCTCCTGCTGTCTCTGGACTTGTTTACAGGCTATAGGAAGAAGGGTCATCTTGGGCTTCACATGCTGGTTCTGTCTGTCCGAAATTTACCTCGTTTTCGTCGAGCGCTTTGTGTTCTTGCTGTGAATTGACTTTTATTTAGTTGTTCATCACAAACAATGCCCAGTTCGAATGAGAAGTCCCTAACTCTGTTTCTGTCTGAAAAGTTATGCCCTGATCTGTTCATTGTTTCAACACTTCCTGTTTTAATTAATTAAAAACAATGCCCTATCATCTCGTCACGAATGTAATAGGGATTGGATTGTGGGCAAGGAGCCGGCAATTTTCCAGATCCCACGCTCCCATTTCTATCCTGGAAGGCGAGCGTGTCCTGTTTTCATGTCAGGGTATGCTGGGCACATACTTGAGAACAGCATGTCAACAGGCGACAGTGCAATAACAAACAGTTCCGGGTGAAATTGAGGCCAGGAATAGCTCTTCCATCACGTTAAGAAGAGCGTGCATTGACCAAATATTTACAAATCAAAACCTGGGCGGAACAGAGATGAAATAATGTTTCAAATAAAACGAAGAGCTGTGAACGCTGAAGATCTGAAACAGAAATTGCTGGAGAAAACGCAGCAGGTTCTATATCTTATGGCCTTATACAAGAATGTAGTTGAGAAAAGTATCAGCCGTGAACAAATGGTGGAGCAAACTTGATGGGCAGAATGGCCTAATTCTTCTCCTTCATTTTGTGGTATTATGGTCTGGCAGGATCTGTGGAGAGAAAGCAGACTTAATATTTTTGAGACAACAAGGTGCAGGGCTGGATGAACACAGCAGGCCAAGCAGCATCAAGCCTCTCTGCTCCTATGATGCTGCTTGGCCTGCTGTGTTCA